TGAGCTCTGTGATCATTGGTGAAAGGAGGAAAGAAGCTGAAGTACAAGCTAAGCTCGGGTGCAGATAGCCTTCCATCCATGAACTAGGAAGGAGACATATTTACATAAACGTCTGGAGTTAGATGAGGTGATCATGCTTGTGACAGCCTTGGTTAAAAACTCATCATTTGCCAGGACACAGTGTTGGAGCTGACCCTTGAGAGCCTCTTATATGGAGTTAAAACTAACCCGGTGGTGACTCAACTGCATCCATTGATGAATGTGGATCTACTCTTTCAATCAGATACAATCAAGACAACAGAATGAAGCTGGAGTATCCTATGCATGGCCTTTCTTTCACAGAGGAGATGTGGACAGAGGGCAGGACTGCAGGACAGAGGGGCAGCTGGGAAGATGCTGCTGTCTCCAGACTTGCTCTCCTGAAGTTCCCACTCCTCTGCATGCCTCAGACCAAGTCCAAGGCTGTGGCTGCTGCTGCACCACAGTTTGTGGAGTGCTGAGAATGTGAGCAACTCAGGTTTGCACAGTGCAAGCTGGATGCTGCCTGCAAAAACACTGCCAAGGTGTCACCTCTGAGGCAAGAAAAACCCAACCGTTGTTTAACCATTTGATTGCCATTAACCCCAGCAGATGTGAATATGCATCTGTGTGAGTTTTGTCACAGGTATCCAGCTTTGACCACAGCCTGAGGCCTCAGCTACACTCCTTCATCCAAGGAAGCAGCTAGCAGAGCCTGTGGCATAGGCAGTACGATCCTGGGAGAAGGTTCTTGTAGTAGCAGAGTGCCTGGGGAGAGGTCCCAGTCCACGCACTGCACGCAAGCTGCTGCTGCTGGTCTGTTCCCATGGGACAACTCTGACAGCAGCCCTTTCTCCTCACAGTGTCTCTGGCACCAATAGTGATGCTACCACTTGCTGTTGGAAACAGCAAATGAAGGCACAAGAAACTACATTTACTGCTTATTTTCAGTATTACTGTGTGAAGATTCTCAGTACCAGCTAGTCTCTACAGAGCATCTGCCTTTGTTGGCCTCAGTTTGGTGGGATCCTCTCCCTGGTTTTAGGAAATACCATTTCCTGTGCATTTTTGCTTTTAGCACCATAATATAGTTGGGCTTCACCTCCCTGAGCCTGATAAACTGGGTGGCTCAGAAACCTGCAATCTGCTTCAACATAAAGCATGTAAGGTAAAAGACATAAGCAGTAATGGAGCTGCTTGGCTCAGGGGTATAAATGCTCTTGTACTCAAAAACCTCTTCTAGCCTTTCTTCTTAACTCTTGCAAGCCCTGGGCAAGTCAGACTGCAAATAAGAGATGATGTGTCATTTCAGATATGCCTCCACTCCAGTGGGAAAACCCCAGAGCTGGGGAGTGGTAGGAGCTCAGATGCCAGCACTGTGCAGTGAAGATAATACGTCAGGGGCAGAGCTGAGTGCTTGCTCCATGGACTCCAAAGTGCTCTTATTTCTGCTGGTTAAATAGATGCCACTTTCTGAGGGCATTATGTGTTGTGGAGCCTGTTGGCTGTGACAACTAATTATCTCCAGCAGCAGTTTGGCCATGAGATTTGTGGTTCAAAGGGAATGCTGTCATCCAGCACCACATGTAGCAATTTGCCTACACTTGGGTTTCCTTGTTCCCGAAGAGGCAGTACCCCCAACACATCCCATCCTCCGCTGGCTCAAGCTTACCCACAAGAGACCAGCGGGTCCAAACAAGCAGCATGGGCAGAGAGCGCCAGATGAGGCCTCTGAGATACCTCCAGCAGGAACCAAGGAGAATCAGCAGCTAAAATCAATTTAGCATTCAAACAGCAGCCTGCCAGAGCTTCCCATTCCCATTCAGCTGGATGTTAGCGTGGCAGCCAGGACACGGCACACTTCTCCAGCTGAACTTCATGGGGTGCATGCACTGATGGGGTCCCGCTAAGTGCAGCCAACTCTAGGAGGAAAAAATATCTGCTGCAGCCCCAGATGGTAGAAATTCCAGAGAAAGTAGCCAGAGGAGTAAACAGTTTTGGAATGCAGCCTCAAAAACAGCACTGAAAATGTTGTATACCTTCATAGAAGTGGATGGTTGACCCTCATCGAGACTACCATGAACAGACAAAAAGCAGACACAGGCAACTAAAAGAATCTGAGTCATTGAAAAACACATGGAGAATGGTGGAGAAGACTAGACATGAGGAAAGAGATGAAGAGGGGGATTAACAGAAAAGGTGTTGGAGCTGGGCTGGAGGTATTGGCATGGGAATGACTGAGGCACCAAACTCGCAGAGCTCAGGTCACCTGAAGCCCAGACAGGGTAAGTGTTGGGGACGTGAGCACTCCTCTGTCACTAAGTACTGGGAACCAGGGCCCTTACCCAGGCAGATGTTAGAGACCTCCCCAGCCAAGGTTCCTATGGAGATATCCCAAGTGAAATTGGAAGTTGGGTGCTGTCAGGGAGGATAGGGGGGATGGGATGGATGCTGTTCAGCCATACTCGCTCTACTGCTAATCTCCCCCAGATCTCCAGTCCTGCAGAGTAACTCAGGTGGAGCCAGGCACATGTGATTGTATCTCCTCCATTGACAATGATGTGAAGGGAAGTGAGGTTTTCCAAACCTCAGAGACAGGTTGTATGCAGCTAATCTGGAGCTAATTTGTTGTTAGGGCAGCCCGGTGAACACCACATTGAAGATCTATAGGTTGTGCATGCCATAAGAGTGAGAACCCCCTGACATCCCAGCACAGGGCCTGGGGTTCAAATGATGCTGCTGTTCACAAGTAAATCATTGCAGGTTGAAGGCAGCAGTTCCAGTAAAGAACTCTGTCACTATGCTGCTGTGGTGCCAAATTCTTTGGCCAGTTTGCAGCTGATTTTGTCATTTGCTGCACTCCCAGCACTAAAGGCGGACCTCAAAGGCAAGAGTAATTGATAGGGAACTTTAAATTGGAGAGAACTGAATGATAGAAAATTACAGAAAATGAAGATGGAGAAAGTGATAAAGGTCTTCAGGGTACTGCCAAGAACTCTAAGAGGAAAAGAAAATCCTTCCTCTCTTACACCTCCACTTTTTACCATCACCTTGAAGAATTTTGTTCCTGAGGACAGAGGAGAACCTGAATCTCTGAATAACAGCACTGCAGAGCTGCCTTGGTCTGTAGGGATATGTGAAGAAATGCAGCTGTCTCTTAAATAACAGGAGTTGACATGAGTTGTGAATAGATGAGTGATCATGGCTTCAGCCGTTACTGTAAAGGATCTGATTTCAAATGAAGCCCCATTCATCCATCCAGGACCCATCATCAGGCTGTTAAGGGAGCATCTGTCACAAAACCACAATGGCTTTAACTGCTTGAAACAAAAATAAGCCTGTTCAGCTTAAATACTTTTCTCTGGGTGATGTGATTCTTGCAATTCTTTAGCAATAATGAATGATAAATGTGATGGGTAGCTAAAATACGTGATGGGAGCAGGGCAAGGTGTGTTTTTCACATTAGCATGGAGTTTGGTTGGGTAGGCATGAATGCCAGTGGCAGTAAGATTTCTTGGGTAGCAGAGTGCACAGCCCCAGCACACCATGCATCCAGCTCCAGAGCCCTGGCTCAGAGCACTCCGTCCAGGACACAAATGGGAATTTTTTTCCTGCTTTCTTGATGCACCAGGGAAAACATCTCCAGCGGCAGGACAGGGCATCACCTTCAGGCCAAGCTTTGTCAAGACACAGGGGAAGTGTGCTCGTTACCATGTGATCGTGATTGGGTAACTCGTCGGGACTAGATGAGTTTTTAACACAGTGTTGAAAACATTGGCATGTCAGCTACTGTCCTGCTGTCCCTTTGGATGACATCCACGCTGCCAGGAGCACAGGGATCAAAGGGCAAGACGACTGCTCATGTACAGACTTGCTTTGTTATGTACACAGTATATTGAAAACATCTCACATGCTTTAGATTGATGTTTCTGGGGTTAGGGGTAGGCATTTAGGCCCTGTAATACACATCAAACCCCCTCTCAGAGGAACTGGAGTATCTGTGCAGCTTGATGGTGGCAAGAAAGACTTTATTGTGTGATGTAGATTTGTGTTTCTAATTCATGTTAAAATGTATTCCAAGATCCTCTTTTCTTTATATTTAGTTGGGCTGAGTTGTTTTAAAAAATTGCCTTGAATGGGTACGAAAAAATGGATTGTGGTTGTATCTGCACTGCTGTGGGCTCCTCTACAAACGTACTTCATGTTGAAAGACAGGACTTCTTGCACAAATTTTCAGCCTATGGAGGCATTGCTGATGTTCACGGTAGAATAGGGTAAATGTTTTTAAAATATCCAAGTGTATTAGAAAGCTAAATCTCCCCTCTAGCCCACCAAAACCCCCAATTTATACTCCCAGAGTATTACCATCTAATCGGGCTCCTGGGTTTTGTCCGTGTGCTGCATCTCCCGCAGTCCCAGCCCTATGCTGGTTTCAAACTGAAGCAGTGACTCACTCAGGCAGAGATTCATCTCCTTCATCTGAGCTGACTGAAAGCAAGGCATCTCCTCAGAACAAGCCACCAAGCCTCCCTCCCTTACTAGCAGAGAGACAGGCATCTCCCAAAAGTGACTTGACCTCTCTGTTCTGGTCATGAGACCTATATGCCTCAACCTCTTATCTGAATAAACCCTTGCAGAAAAGCATGTGTGTGTGTACAGAATCCAGCACAATGGACAAATTGGGCACTTCGTCCCTCAGGGAATGAAAATAGCAAGCAACGTTAAAGCTGTGTGTTTTCACAGATTGCAATCAGGGCTCACAACACAACGCACACTTAATTTCCTGCTTTCAGTTCACTATCGGATTTTATGCGTAGGTTAGTGGGGTTTGTTTTTCACCAGAATAGGATATACTACAATACATTCAGCCATGAAAAATGAGATTGAAAAACATTAATAGGAAGCAGAAGGATTCATCTGAGATTGACAAAGATTAATGTGTGCTTTATTCTTATCTGTTTTCTTTTCACTTTTTCTCTTAGTTACCTAGACAGCTTAGATCGAATTGGAGCTGCAGACTACCAGCCCACGGAGCAGGATATCCTCCGAACCAGAGTCAAAACAACTGGCATTGTAGAAACCCACTTCACGTTCAAAAACCTCCACTTCAGGTTAGTCTAAGTGCACAGTAAATTTTCAGTACATCTATTTGTCACAGAGTTTTCCTATAGCTCCCAAAGGAGAAGTTGTTAAATTCTAGTTAATGCATGGATGACTTCCACTGCAGAAGGCATGGTGTTTTGGAGGGTCAGCAATATGATCCTGTCTTGAAAATCACTGCCTTTTAAGATGAGAGCTCATGGTAGCTTCTTCTAACCCAAATGGCATCTCTTTGCTGAGAGGTGTAATGTAAGATTGACCCCCAGTCAAGCCTGATCAAGCCTCATAAGTGTAAAAATATTTGGCCAAATCTTTTCCCTAAAGTGAGTCAGTCACATGTGGTTAACACTGTGTATTCACTTCATGATGCCAGCCAGTAGAGAAAAGGACATGAAGGCAGAAACCATACACAAACAGTATTTGGAGTATTTAAAGATCAAGAGCATGGAGTCTCTTCCTCTGCAGACGTTATGGGACACAGCACAGTTCTGAGGTTCTCCCACAGATCCCCACATCCCTTGCTGTAACTGCTCCTCTTTGTCCTCCTCATCTCCAGTCTCAGAGGAAGAAAACCAAGGCAGTGGTAAAAGACATGTGGCTTTATGTTTGGAGCCTTCCAGACACAGTATGCTCCATCCCTGACAGTGTTTCAAGGCCAGGTTGGACATGGTCTAGGGGAAGGTGTCCCTGCCTGTGTCAGGGAGTTGGAACTGTATGATCTGAAGATCCTTTCCAACCAAAACTGTTCTGTGAAATTCCAAGAATGCTCAAGTTTCCTTGTAACTAAGAAGGAGCAGGCACTGATGGTCTTCTCCTGTGCCATAGGCTGTTTGATGTTGGAGGCCAGCGGTCAGAACGAAAGAAGTGGATTCACTGCTTTGAGGATGTTACAGCGATCATTTTCTGTGTCGCACTGAGTGGCTACGACCAGGTGCTTCATGAAGATGAAACCACGGTGAGTCTAACCGGGTCTTGGAGGCCCCAACACTTCTTTATGGAATACTGCATAGCCAGCAACTACTCAGAGATTACCGAATGCTCACTGGGCTGCTACAGTAATGTGCTTTTGTCAGTCACTCCCCCTTGACTCTGAAATCCTGGGGAGATGTGTCCTCCTCCACACTCTTCAAAATCAAGTCTGCATGCCCAGGTAATGCTTCCTTGCGCTGGTAAAGTCGCAGTGTTTTATGTCTCCTTTCTAACTGGCCTGTGTGTTTTCAAAACGTGTTAACAGAATCCTGTGTCCAGAAAGAGGAGATAGAGGTGGGCTCTTAAAACAAATGTTAAGGAAGCAGTTGTGCCGTGGTGCAGAGGTGCAGGACGGTCATGCACGCCCAAGGCAGACTCAGACTAGGAATATAACCTATTTCTTCAGGCTACAGATATTCATTTTCCTAAGTGAGACTAGAGCTGTTTGATTCCTCAGGTAATTTGCTCTAGGAGAGCTTTTATGACTTCCCACTGTGACGTTAGGCTCAAAATGCCATCTGGAAATAGAGCTAGCAAGGACCTGTATGCTTCCTGGTATTAAAGTGCAATTAATACAAGAGGATGCAAGAAGACTCAGTGTATTTTGGCCATTCAGTCAGTGTAATGGGGATACCTGCAGCAAGCACCTAGCTGCATTTGTCTTGCAAAAATAAATTGGAGGCCATACTCATACTTGGTAATGATTTTATCTGTGTCCATTCTGCAGAAGTATGGAGGGCCCAATCCTGCCTGTTCTGTTTCTCTGAGGCTCTTTTTTCTCCGGCTGCTGAAGGTGTAGGTTTGCAAGAAAGTGTTAATGAGGACGAAACTGAGGGAAAGATTCCTGTTAGGTATCAGTTGGCTTGTCCCAGAAAGGCTGGGAGGGGGCTGTGGTTTCTAGGCTCTTTAACTCAGGTTTATGAGCTCTAGAAAACTGATTAAGTCACCTGGTTGTTCGGGTTGTACTGATGACAGAATTCAGGCTGATATTAACATCATGACTATGTCCCTCCAGTCTGACTGAGATACCCTACACCCTCGTATGTCCCTTTATTTATAATTCTCAGTTGTCACCTACCTCTGATCCTGGCCCTAATATGCTTAAGGATGCTCACTCCTGTAGGATTTATTAGGAAGGAACCTAAGTCACCTGACATGATTTGAAAAACCAAGTCATTAACTCAGTGCCATAGAGCTCTGCAGCTGAGCAGAGGAAACACAACCACGAGATAAAGAACAATACGAAGGGAGAAAGCAGCCCCAGGAGGCAGGGAGCCCAGCTGTGACCTGAGCAGGGAACAAGGCAATCTGTAGGTATAACTTGGGCTTGCAACACCCAAACAGTGAAGCCAAAGGCAGCCTTTAATACAGGTCACCCTTGGGTGCCAGAGCGGTGATTCAAAGCCACAGTACACAAGATGGAAGAGCCTGAATGCCAGTGCCATTTTTAAATGTCAACTTTTGACTCAGCTCCTCTGAGATGGAGGTTACAGCATCTCTCCTGGGATGCTGAGCTCTGCCAGTGACTGTCCATCACCCAGCACCACCCCAGTGACAAGCAGGGTGCCAGGTCAGCCTGCCCCTTGCAGTGCTTCACTGCAGAAAACTGGGATTTATACATCTCCAACTTTCCTTTTGCACCAGGAAAGCAGGCTCGCACTGCTCTGGCACAGAGCTGACATTTGATTGCTATTTCAATCCCTTTTCACAAAGCCTTTTTGGGGATGCTGAGCAACAGGAGAGCAGAGGCAGCTGCTGTTCACTTACACACTCAACTGTAAATGGGGAAAGGATTCAGCACTGGCACTGCTGTGCCTGCAGGATGCCCCTGCCTAACCCAAATAAACAACCCTGAGTGAGCCCAATCCAAACAGGAAAAATGTTGGAGTTGGATCTTATCTGCCTTATTATACCCCCCAGCATAGGTGGAAAACCCATAGGCTCTGGCCTTCTCCCAGCTGAAACCCCAAGCATTCCGTTTCCTGCCTCCTAACATGGTTCCTCTCCAAAAAGCCAGCAGTAAAAGCAGCATCTCTTCAGTCAGCTGATTTGCTGTCTGTCTGCATCCGTCACATCTGCTGGCTTTCATGACGTAAATCAGCTTTTATTGCTTCTCACTTAGAAATGACAAAGAGGAGGCAGCTGAGACAGTGAGCTGGATGCTGCTCCTCCATCTTCATTTTCTGTAGAGATTCTTACTACGATCCTGGCACTTCCAGCTGTATTAAGCTACTGAAGGGTTGGTGCTGCACAGATGTCTCTGTTGAGTATGAAAAGACTTGTAGAGCTTTCATTGCTGGCATGGAGCCATGAAGAGGAAAAGAACATCTCAGGCACTCAAAAAATGCTTGCAAAGCATAGGGAGAGCAGCTTTTCCTTGTTGACAGTAACCACAGGATTTCACAGGGGCTTTTAGCACTTTTTTTTAAGTCAAACTTCACCTTGGGCAGGTGAAACTGCAGCTCAGATCAAGTCAGCCTAATACAGGGGACTTGCTTTGGGAAGCTCAGTCACAAGAGTGCTGGGAATAGCCTAGTTGTGTCAGCTTGTCTCACTGAAAGAAGCTCATGAACAACAGGTTCACTGTGAACCCTTTACAACAAGATCAAGCAAAGAGATGGTTAAACAAGGCTGGGTGAAATGCCCCCTGACCTGTTCCTTCCCTTAAAATAAAAGCACAGCTCCACACTTGGAGGTTTTTTGTGGGTTTTTGTCTCTTTGTTTTAAAAAGCTGAGCACCCATCCTCCTGCAGCAGCTAAAAAAGGGCTATTGCACACAAAGCCATCACCCCCTAGGACCAAGTAGTCTTTTATAAGGGACATATATTCTCTCCAATTCCCTGACACAAAGAGTAACATGGCAGGAGTTGAGGAAAGCAAGTACTTTTCCATGTCCAGAGCAGAAAGACACAGATAAAGAGAACTTTCTGCATCTGTGATGACCCATGAAGACAATGCTTTGCACATATAACTCCTGGTGCTCTTGAATCTAGCCTCTCCCACTGCCCCAAACACCTACTTGCACCACTGCTGGCAGATCTAAACTGCTTCCCTGCATGCCTGTCTCCCAGGGCAGAGGATCAAACCTATAGGGAAATTCAAGCAATGCCTTCATCAGTCCCATTGCTACCAGGCACAGCCAACAGCTACAGCTCACGAGGCAAAATTACACCCTTTGCCCAGCCCATCCAATGCACAAGGCACTGTCTTCAGGGTTTTACATGTGCCTCTTCATCTGGCTTTACAAAGTCTGTCACAAGTAATTTCAGGACTCTGCTGCATTTGTACACAGTGGGAACATCCTGTTTTAACTGACTGAACAACTCCATGGATTATGCCTTTGCATAACAAAGCTATTTTGCCTCATGTGTTACTTTATGTTTTGTAAGCTGAGCTTACAGGAGGAAAAGCCTCAGACCTGTAATCTGGCAGGAGAGAGGGACAGCAGTCATAATAATGGGTAAAACTGGCAAAGACAATTAACAAATGTAAATTTGCATTTTTCCTTCTAACTGGAATTCCTAATGGATTTTTAAAAAAGACAGCAATGGCATGGGACCTATCACTGAAACCAAGACTATCCTCTTTGTTTTTTAAATTGCAAATTCAAAGGAGTCATGGCAAGAGAGGGAGGTGTTCATGCTGCACATTGATGTCTCTGAATCCAAACTATTTAGATCACCTAGCAAAGACATGCAAGTATTGTTCATGGCCCCATTGCTAAGCATGGGATGGGTTGAAGGCGCTGTGCTAGTGATCCTTGGTCTGTTGGTTCTTATTTCATTGCATGACCTGGTTAGCGTACTCTCTCTGCTGTCAGTGGGCAAGGAAATTGAATTGCCGTGCTTAGAAATTGCCTTAGGAGTGACAAAGCCAGTGAAAGTGGCTTGAGCATCTTAGGCAATACAAGCAGGAGGGAGGATATGGAGTTTCTGTCCTTAGGATAACCATCAGCACCCTTATAGTTCACATGCCAGTTAGCATTTAATCACCAAGGAGAACAAAAAAAGCCTGAATCAGCTGTGTGTGGGAGAAATAACCAAGTCTCCTCCCATGCTCTGATGAAAAAAGATGGGATTTATGACTGTGTGTCTGCCTTAGCAGAGTCTTGACCACAGCATCCTTTCTCCCTCATGCTTAGCAGAAAGTTGTCTGACCTTCACATCAGTGATGGGAACACGATTGTGTTCACATCTGAACTCAGTGATAAGCAATTCTTGTCCTGCACAGGAAGAGTTAACTGGGGTTTTAATTTGTATGGGAGAGTGGTTAGTCATCTCTAATGTGGCTGTTGGGGCTGCTTTGCTTTTGGGATATAAAGTATTTGCAGGCATAAGGATTTAAAATACTGATTTTGAAATAGGAAGTGACATTAAGAAGCCAGTGTTTCAAGAGCCCTTTCCTTAATGATAGACCCAATATAAAGTAGGAAAAAGCAGTATAATGGGTCCAAAAGCAGATGAAGTAATTTGTATCACTTACCATAAAACTATGAGAAGTGTAATCTTTAATGCCACCTAGCAGAACAGGCATGGGTGCTCCTGAGAGGAACCCTGGGGAAGCTTTAGGTGACTAAAAGGGTCTTTCACTTTGGATTTACTGGTAGGAGGGGGATTATTTGATGGCTTTAACTTCTCACACCTCCTTTAGCAGCAGTCTGTCCTTTTACATGTGGTTCCCAGAGACTGCCTCCCCATCCTTGCATCTTAGCCAGGGTCTGCTTGAGTTGTTGGAGGTCTCCTACAAACACATACAGAAGGAATCAAATGTTGCCCATGGTGCTTCCCAGCAGTTGGGAAGTGCAGCCTAGTGCAGGCCTGGTGGGGTGCAGCATGGTAAGTACATTGACCTCTAGGCTGATGGCTGCTGCACACGAGCTGTGGTTTAACCCATGAGCAGTGTTCATGTGTTCCTCCATGCTTCTATTTTAAATCAGAAGGGGTGATAAAAATGTTACTAAGAACGTTCTGTGAGGCACCCTGATTAAAAAACAGTTAACTGTATTTGCCGTCTGTTCCCCTGACTGCACTCCACCTTCTCTCTTCCCAAAGACTTTGGGTAGCCAGATCTCCTGTACAAAACCTTTGCAGGTTCCTACATGATTGCAGTTCTGACATTACAAGTAAAAAAGAGCAGCATTGCTCTGGGGCTCCCACACCAGCCAGTACAAAATGGGTTAGCAAAAACCAGCACACAGATACGGGATAATACAGACAAGCAACATCTTGCAACTGAGACCCAATAAGGAACTGCATTTTTCCATTTGTACATGATTACATCTTCCCTGTGTGTTAGTGGGGAGATACTCGGTCATTTCAAGCCTTGTAGTAAAGCGTGTGGTGTACGGTACAGCAAATCACGCACGTCCTGTTTCACTCTGGGTCAGATCAGATGTTTCCTTCATCCACAGAGCCACATTTATCTAACTAAAACATTCAGCAGCAGCTAATGTATATCAATGAAAAGGAAAGTGTTAATCAATACAGTGCTGGGCTCTATCATGCAGCCAGCACAAGCATGAAACGGAGCGAGAGAGGGGTGAAAGCCACCAGCTGTCTCCTGCAGCATCCCGAATTTCCAAATCTGGGGAGGGGGAACACGCTCCACCAGTCCTCAAAAACCCTCCATCAACGAGACCGTACCACCCTGTCCTCTCCAGCATCTTTCAGGTTACAGCAACAGGTGGTTGCTGTAACCAGTCTCATATGTGCATTAGCGGGTTTGGGGAGTGCTGTCCCAAGGAGATACCACTGGGAAAAGCCGAGGAGCTGGTCTGGTCTGTACCGTGCTTTGCATTTGATAACCCCCTGACTCTTGGGTGTGCTTCGTCCTCACCGTGCCTGCTCTCTCCGCTCCCTGGCTCCCAGCTGAGAGACGGCCACGCGACCAGCGTGCGCGCTCCGGCATCGGCCTTGCGCGCCCAACATCGCCAGCCTCAGCACCTTCACAGCCTTTCCTCGGCCGTCTGACCTTATCTAGCCAAACAAAGGCCAAAAAATGAGCATTTGAGAGACCAACCAAATTGGCAGGTATGAAGCTTCTCTTGAACTGAGAAAAAACAACAAAAATAAAAGAGAAACAGAGAGTTGAAAGCAACAGGGAACATGACAGTTGGTTGACTTTGCCGTGAGCTCTTTCCACCACCATAAAACCATGTGGCGGACTTTGCAACTCTCTAACTGGTCTGTTTTGTTCATTCTTCTTATCTCTCTCTCGTTTCTTGTGTCTTTTTTTGCATGACCTATAACCAAAAAGCTGACTTCTCGCTGTGCGTGCATTTGAATGTGTGGTTCTTCTGCTGGCGAGTAGCTGATATTCTTGTAGAGGCATGAGCTAACATCAGTGGTAGCTGCCTGACTTCTAGTCTGGTTGTTTTCAGATGCCCTTTGTTAAGTTTTTCCCTTTTATACTATTTCTTCTTCCTTTTTCACTTTTTTGCTCTCGGTGAGACACTTTCTGTTGAGCCATCTTCCAAGACAACTGAAAAAATGGGAAAAAATAAAAAGCCCAGCAACACTAAACAAAATAACAAAACCTGGCAAAGGTCACGGCAAGGTCATTTCCAAAATTATGTCACCTTGGTGTCTGCTTCCAACTCCAGATTAATTCAAGGATCTACCAGTCCTTGGTTAATGTATTCAACCAGTTGTGTGCCACACACACTCGAGACAGTGAAAAAAGAAGTTTAAGAAGTTAATGAAAACATTGTAGAAAATCTGCATGAGCTACACGAACACATAAATCTGATCAAAGGGCAAAAATAACTCCCCATCCATGCATGGTGCATGATGATTTCTATGAGCTGGGATCCTGTAAATTATATGCTATGCAAAATCGGAACAGCTCTGTATAGTTAAATGCCCTTAAGTTACTAACTGTATGTCAAATGTTATAGGAATTGCATCTGTGTACGTATATGTTGAGCTGTATGTATACATCAAATTATTACGTATATTGTAGCCTTTTTTTTTCTCCTTAATTTAGTTGTTTTAGATTTCCCTATGTGTTGAACGTCCTTGAGTCGCTGTCTTTGGCCTCATGTGATCTCTCCTTTCTATTGCAGAACCGCATGCATGAATCAATGAAGCTTTTTGACAGCATCTGCAATAACAAGTGGTTCACAGATACATCTATCATCCTCTTTCTAAACAAGAAGGACATATTTGAGGAGAAAATTAAGAAATCTCCACTGTCTCTCTGCTTTCCTGAGTATACAGGTAATGAGAAAGGTGGCTGTACAGAAGTGCATAGCAGAGGGATCATGGAGCATTTCCATCCAGGCTGACACTGTCACGTATCACAGCCTAAAAGTGCATGGCTAGAGCTCCCATTTCCTTCACTGCAAGTTTTATTTCAATAAATAACATAGGCTCATTCCCACCATGTTTAGTGGTCCGCTGAAAGCATGAGGATGACTTAAACCCAAGTTATTTTCTGCCAAAAGGCCACTGTCACTAAGCAGTGTATTTGATCCCTGCATCCCTCTGTGGTTCATGGCCACTGGAACCCACTACCAGGCACCGAGCAGCTGCAGGATCAGCCCTCCAACATGCAGACAGCAGGTTTCACAGCTTGGCTGCTTCAGCTCAAGCTGTACATTTTTATCATATTAGTTTAGGAGGTCCACAGTTTCACTCTCAGGCTCACTGACATCAAGCATCTGGACACAGAAACACTTCCACTTAAATGCAGATAGAAAACAAGATGCTTGATTCTCCGGTGCATTGACCACCAATGCCTCTGCTGATAGAGCAGGCAGTGAAGAGCCACAGTAGGCCGTGCTCCGATCTTGGCTGGAGAGAAGAAGGCCTCGGAGATCAGAACAGAGGCTCTGCAGCACAGCAGCATGTGAGAGGCCCTCGCTTCTGTTGGCTCCTGATGGGAATACATCACCCATGCAAAGGCTGCAGCTGCATCTCACCAGCTTCCACCAACGCTCATTACCATTCTGAGACAGCATAAAAATTAACTTTTATCATCATGAATTATTTAAGCTCATCAGAGACATCCAGATGAATCAAGCTGACAGACAGAGAAGCAGATCTCTTCGTCAGGAAATGGAGTTGTGAACCGGGAGTACCAAGAGTGTCACACTTCCGGGCAGGACAACAAATTATTACCCAGAGCTTCCTACTTCTGAGTATTTGATTTTTCAATGTGAACAGGCAAAAGTAATCCGTCACTGCTGCTTTGGGCTGAATGGTCTATGGACATGGAGCTGAGTGACTCCGTTCAGAAGAACATCTACAGGCTTCCTCTGGGGAAGGTTTGGATATTTGTCACTACCACATTTCAGCCATCTACTCACCTGCTTGGTCTAGACAGAGCAAACATAGTCATGATATGTTTGTCTAAAAAAAAATCTAATAATGGAAATTCCACAATCTTTACAGTGGACAGGTCACAATAAAGCCGAACTCAAATTTTTCTAGTTGCAAATTAGGTTGCTGCTTGCCATCTTTTGGATGACTTGTAGAGCAGCTCATCACCATTTTCTTTCTAGCAGCGTTTCTGTATACCAGAAGATTATTATCATGCCATCTTCCTTTTTTCCATTTCTCCATGAAGTAAACCTGCACCTTTCACTCCTTCCTGATCGCATTTTGTTAACCTGGTTTTGTCGATCTTCACTGAAGTCTCTCAGTAACCCCGCGCTGAAATAATGTTCTTACATATATCTCTGATGGCAGAGAGACTAGAATAAGAAGAAATGTTGATTTAGATGTAACTTTTCCTTCCCAAGCTATCCCAGCCCAAGGGAGGAGTTTGGTGGGGAAGATAAACACTCATACACATGTAGTTAAGCTTTTGGCTGACTACACAAAGGAAAACAAATATAGCGTGTTTCTGGAGCACTTCAGATGCAGGTGAACCAAACCAGTCCTCCCAAATCTCAGAGTATCCCAAAGATGCTCTAAATTCCTTCTAGGTGCTGCTTTGGAAGCTGGGATTTATCACAATGCCAGGGACTCTCCACAGACCACTTGTCTCTCTCCGGAGAGGTCTGGAAGTCTGAAGGCTGAAAGTCCTTCCAAATAATCCAACAGGTATCTGAACCAGAGGTGAAGAATGTCTCCCCCCAGGCATTCAGCAGTGCAGGGACTTTAGCCCAGACTTTAGGCCCAAGCACACACTTAAGCTTACTCATTGCTGCTTTGCTGACCACAGCTCAAGGGTGAAACCCTTGTGGCCTTGTGAAAAAGCAGCATTATTAGAAAGTTACCCTGGAGTTAAAAGGAATTATTTGATGAAAGCCTATAAATAAAATGAGTGGACCTTCTACATCACAAGTAGGTTCCACAAAATGCTTTTAATAAAATGAGGTTTCTGATGTCCATTAGTTCTGCTGACAGAGCTATTAGAAGACTGTATCCACAAATTTTCTTGCTGTATGCTAAACAGAGCACTGACTGTTTCCATCCCCTTAATTCACTCATGCATTTAACATGCATTAATCCACAACAGTTACAGAAGCAGCAGCAGAATCCAGGGCGTGTTTTAAACCAACCTGGCATTAGTGATTCCCAGCTTTCCAAGAAGGAATCCAGCACCTAAATCCTTACACCTTTAAACAAGCGACTTCCCTTTGATCAAATACCATCTTGATTGTGGCAGCATGTGGAACTGTTCCCAAAATCTTTACACAGGTCATGTAAGAGCCTCCTCCCAGGAAACATTTTGCTTCTCTTCAGGCCTATTTCCAAGCCTCATGGTCTTCGTAAGCTTGTGTCTTCAAGTAGCAGCGCATGTACATTTACATGCAAGTTATTTTCCACTTGCTGCCTTCAACTACAGCAAATCTCGAGCCCAAGTAAGCTTCTTTCTAGCAGATAAGCACATTTTCCATCAGTAAAGCATCACAGAGGGCAAGGGATCCATGAGTGTTAGCACCAGAGCCTTCCAGGGCTGCACTCCAGGCCAGACCGAGAAAGTGAGTTTATCAGACCAAATCAGGTACCAGAACGGAGCTCTGTGCGTGACAAGTGTCAAGGCTGGACAGATGAGAAAGGATCTGCTCTTTTGCATGACTGCTCTTCAGCTCTTTTAACACAACCTGATGGTTAATAAGGTTTGGCATAGACATTGCTATACATCACAACAAAAAGTTGCTCACGGTGTGATTTTAGGCACAGCTCCAGCAGAGCATACTGCCATCCTAATTCCTCAAAAAGAGGCACATTTTATATGATTTGTCACTGTGTATCATTTTCTTTGAGAAAACCCCTCTCACCCTGTAACAGAGGCTGGATTTTTTCATGTCCTTTTCTCTTACTGCTCCAGGGAAAGGAAGGCACAGTTACCAACAGTGCTTCAGGGAAAAGAGGGCACAGTTACCAACACTGCCCTCAATTCATGGACATTTTAGCTCTTCTTTCCATCAAAAGCTGAAAATATAATAACAAAGTCTGAAAATGAAACAAAAGTTAAGCCTTTTCACCAGGTTAAGCACTTGCTGCATTCCTGGCAGATTTCTTCTCTTTTTTGTCATCATGATGTGGAATTTCTGCTGGATTCCCCATCACAGCCTGTGTAACACTCAGTTCCCTCATCCATTTCATCTCTGTAGACTAGAAACAGCAACCCAGAATAAAAATATAGCTGAGCTGGCAGTCAGAGAGCATCTCCTCCCTTGCGGCAATCCTGGCCAGATCCCTGAGATGGAGCTGGGGTGGCTGGGTTGCAGCAGCCCCGTATGAGTCCCCCATATCCCTATGATAGGGTGCTTGCAGGCACCCTACAGATTTAGGGTTATGGGATTGCTTTAACCAGCTCTTTTTCCTTGGCTCTCTTATAGGCCCAAACTTATTCACAGAGGCAGTGGCTTACATCCAGGCTCAGTACGAGAGCAAGAACAAATCCACCAACAAGGAGATCTACACGCACATCACCTGCGCCACTGACACCAACAACATCCAGTTCGTCTTCGACGCCGTCACGGATGTCATCATTGCCAACAACCTGCGGGGCTGCGGACTCTACTAAAGCACCCTCCTCCTTCCCTTATCCCCTCGCACCCGCCAGGAGCATCCTCCGGTCCTGCGGACAGGTCCTCTCTCTTTCTTCTTTTTTCTCCTCAGAGGATGATGAGGAAGAAATCCATAAATCACTCCTTCTGTCCCAGAAAACTTTGCAGCAAGTTCTACTTTCCCCAGCCCCAATTTACTTTGGTTTGGTTTATTTTTGTTCACTCCCTTGCTGCCTCGCTCTACTCCTCCGTCTCAATTCACAGTGCTGTAGAGGGAGCTAACGCGTTGCCCACAGTGTGCATTTCAACTGCCAAATGCCAAAAATACTTCAGTTAAAAAAAAAAAAATCAAAGCCTTAAAATACTGGTCAGCAACAGTCTAGTTTGGAACCGAAACTTTTTTCCTTGAAATTAGGGGATATTTTTGATTCTGATTATTTATATACTTTTTTTTTAACACTGTTTCTTTGGGAAGAGCTAGACACAATATGATCATTTTGAGGGTACCTTATGGCTCCAGTTCCTATCCAAAAGCCAGAGGGGTTGGTGTTGAATGCAGCCACCACAGGTTGGATTTGTATATTCTCCTTTTTTCCAGACAGCTATTTGAACAAGTGAAACAGCTATATCAAGTTCTGCTGGTGTCTGAGTAAGAAGGACACAGTAACAAAACCTACTAAGCTATGTCTAAAAGCATTCATTGCCGGTAACAGTTTTACCTCAAGTTTTTCTAAATTAATGTTAAAATACGTCTAGTGGTTTCAGTAACCCATTTCTGAGGAACTCTGGTGGATGCCACAGAGCTGCTGGGCTCTGGCAGCTGGTCTTGCACCCCTGGAGCATAGGTAGCAAGGATGCTCTATAGATGGCATCCTGATGGGGACCCCATGCACAGGGATTCCAGCTGGAGACCCGGGACCTTTTCCAAAGCACCTCCCAGCCTAAGTGATTCCAGCACAACTAGTGCTCTTGCAGACACGTAGCATCTCTTTCCAAACTTCAGCCCTGAAATGCTAGGGTTCACCAAAAATATTTACCCCTGGCTTTTTGTAGGCAGAGTTTGACCTTCAAGTAGCTGAAATGCAGAGGGGTGCTTTGGGAAACCTCACCATGCTTGGGTGACAGCAAGGTGTGCAGGACCCTTACAGCTCTTTATCGCATCTAAATACCCTTGAGAAGCCTGACCTTGCAGTCTGAGCCTCCCTGGCTGAACAGAAGCAGGTAGCTTGCCTGTGTCATCTCCTGCCTGGGCATCCAGGAGAGACAGCTCCAGATTCGGTGTCTCTAGTCAGGGCGTCCCTTCACCAGTATCTAAAGTGAGAGGGATGGTTTATACTGGCCATGTAGTGGCAAGGGAGGACTCAAGGAGCTGATTTGAGCCAAGTGATGGAATAGGAAGAAAAAGTGCAAGGAAGAGAGGGGAGAGAAGAAGAAAGGGCTGGGGGAGAGGTGTGGAAATGGCAAGGGTAGTGCCCAACACAGCCAAATGTGGGGATACAAGGAGGACAAACGTGTCTGGGCTAGGTTATGTGTGGCCATCTGCCTGCCATCACCAAGAGCTTTGGTACTGTTGGGGTGAAGGCAGAGGGGAGTGTGAGAGGTGGGGTTGTCACCTCCAGGAACATGGAGGGACCCTTAGATATCAACCATGAAAGCTTGTTTGGTGTCTGGGTGGGACAGCCACCTCCAAGGTCCTGCTCAGGGCCTAACTGCACATGGGGACAGACAGACAGTGCTGATCCCTGCCTCTTTTCTGTGTCTCTTACCCTCCATGATCCTGGAAAACGTGTGCCTTTCCAGGCCAGCCACAAGTTCATCTGTCCTCTCTTCAGAGCCCGAGCTAGAGGTATCCTTCAGGTCTCAGAAGGCCTGAGTTTTCTCCAGTGCCTGAGAGGGACAATATCTCTTTTCTTGCTGTGCCCATCTACGAGAGATGGTGTGAGAGCAGCCCAAAGCAGCACAGCCCACAGGCAAGGGGCCAGGTGAGGGTCAGTGTGCAGGAGGCAGGGAAAGGAGCAGGTATGGTGGCACCAGATGGAGAGGACCAGCATGAGAAATTGGGGTGTGGGACAGTTTTGAAGAGAAGTTGCAGAAGGGAGATGGGGCAGGTTGCGTCAGCAGGACAGCAGGAAGCGAAGGGAGCCAGAGTCCCTGTCAGACTGGACTCTGCCAGGACACTGCTTGTGGGATATCTTGACAAAACCCCAGCGAGGGAGGTGAGCAGGAGCACACTGGGACTCAGGGGTGGGCTGCACAGGTGGCTTTCACCCTGTAACCAGCTCACAGCCAGTATGATTGGCAGCTGTGTCAGTAATCCCCTGAATGGCATTAAGTGATGAAACTGTCTTTAGTGTTATACAGTGAGGGCCTGCTGCTGCTCTGCTGGACACTAACGGCAATAACACCAGGTCTCTGTCTCCCTGCCCAGCACAGAGTACGGCCTTTCTCTTCACCATCTGAGCCTTAAAATACCTCCAGTGGCATTAGCCCCGCCACAGAACTGTTCAGCCAGCAAAGCCAGGAGTACCTCTGCTCCTCACGCCACATTCTACCTGCACGTCTTGTTTTCCCAGGTCCCAGCCGCTCTCCCAGCTCCATTTAGTGCCAGTGCACTGCTGTACCACCATAAACTAAAGGAAGACTGATCACAAGGCCTGCATGTGTCGTTGTATTTGGTTTAGCTCAGGATTTTCAGAGTCAGTGGGAAGGTTTTCCAAAGAAAGGATTCCCAGTGGGAACACCTGCCCAGTTGCCTGGTTCCTTGGAAGGGGCTAGCTAAAAGCACTGAGATGGTGCCTCTGCCACAGGAGAGGCAGGGAGCTAGCTGCAGAGGGGTGGGGATGCTCCTGAAGCTTGTCCCATGTGGGTGGCCGGGTCCCACCAGTCAAACCTAGCATCCCAATGTGCTCTGGGTGTCAAAATGAGGGCCGAAAAGCTGGGTGTTAGTTACATTTGGTACTGTCCTGGGTTTGGCTGTCCTTCGTAGTAGCTGGTGCAGTGCTGTGTTTTGGCTTTAGTCTGAGAGCAATGCTGATAACACACTGATGTTTTAGTTGTTGCTCAAGGACTGTGATCAAGGACTTTTCAATCTCATGCTCTGCCAGTGAGGAGGGGCACAAGAAACCACGAGGAAGCAGAGACAGGACACCTGACCCAAACTAGCCAAAGGGCTATTCCATACCACAGCACATCATGCCCAGTATAGAAACTGGGCGGGAGTTACCTGGAAGGGACCAATCGCTGTGCATCACTTGTGTTTATTGTTTTTTTCCCTTTCCCCTTTTAGCTTTATATTCTCTTCACCTGTTATTTCCCTAAGCATTATTATTTAGTGCTAGTGGTTTTGTATTATACTTTTGTTATTGGACTGTTCTTAACTCAGCCCATGGGATTTACATTCTTTTGATTCCACAGCCCTCTGGGAGTGGGAGAAAACAGGGACTGAGTGAGCGGCTGCATGGTGCTGAGTTACCTGCTGGGCTTAAACCACAACAGTCCTTTTTGGAAGTTCCCCCCCTGACTGGGGTGGGTCTCACATTGGGTGCCAAAAACACAAGTGATGCACAATCAATAAGCACTACTTAACAACTAAACCATTGGTGTGTTACCAGCATTGTTTTCAGACTAAAGCCAAAACACAGCACTGAACCAGCCAGTAGGAGAAAAATAACTGTCACAGCTGAACCCAGAACAGGTACATAAAGTGTATGCAACTGCTAGGTCCAGAGTGCAGTGCTTGTGCTGGCAGTGAGGCAAGTCTTATGTTAAGCTCTGTCAGAAGAGTTTGATCATTAGCACTGGAATTCTGGAGATTTCCTGTTCCCATTCCTTACTGTGGGTGACATTTTATCCAAGTGAGTAAGTAACAGAAGCTGTTCCCAGTGCAGGCAGCACCAAGCCAGGGCTTCAGGACTTCCCAGCACAGAGTACACAGGAATATTTTGGTAAAGAAAATTGAAATTAACTCAACCCCAAACTCTGCCAGATCCTACCAAGTCACCAGTGATGGCTCAGAGTGCCTGTGCCGTGCTCCACGCTGGATTCAGGTAATCCATGCTTGGCCGTGCTGGCTGAGAGGTCCAACCGCCTCCTGAGAAAAGGGAGGAAAAGAGGAGAACATGTTGTCACACAAAGTCTTTTCTGTCATTTTCTTTGGCATATTGTATGCCTAAAGCTTCATTTCAGCAGCTGCTGCTGCTGACATTCCCTCCCTCACACAAGTGTCATGAGGATTCACTGACAAAGGCTGGAAGCAACATTTGGAAGATGAAATGCTTCCAGTGTTAAACACTACTGTTTCTCCCACTTGATGGCCGTGTATAGATTTTTGTCTTCAGAACGCCTGCCAAAGCATTACTCACTACTGGCTTTCTGCATGCACCTAAGCCTTCTCTGACAGATGTGCCTTCTGCAGGCAATCTTTTGCCCTGTGCTTTTCCTAAGTACCAGCAATCCTTGCAGCAGTTGCCTAGAAAGAAGACCTTGAAATACATTGCCTGCTTTCAAAAACCCTTTTCTTAATGGCCCTTTATGTTTTGCAATCAGGATTCTCTGAATTCAGACCCTCAGAGGCCCTGAGTTGTATTTCGTTTGCAGTCTCTGCGTAGCAGGGATGTTGCAACTGGCACAACTGCATCAGAAATCATACGAGGGCATGGAGGATGTATTTTAAAAGCACAGAGTTGAAACAGCTGTATATACACCCTGCTGCCCTTCAAAGCTAATGTAGGAAATTGCAAAAGATGCCCTTTTTGGAATGCAGAAGGTTTTTAATGACTCATTTTTTAATGACTTTTTAATGCATAAAAAAAGATATGCACAACTATTTGTTTATTTGAACAACTGTTCAGTTCAAATAATAGAGAAACCTGTAGAAGGAAAGCCTGGAAACAAGCCCATAGGTGAGGCTGCAAGGTTGAGCTGTAGAGCACTGCTCCTTGGGAGGATGCAGAAGCTGGGCTTGTCTGGAGAGCTAGCAATAAAATACACATTAAAATAAAGCCGCACACTTCAAAGCGCAGGTGTTGCTCAGCAAACAGAGCTCACAGCCTGGTTCTCAACCTGGGCCAAGGAGCCCGACAGAGCGGCAGGGCAGCAGGAACACTCAGCCAGGCCATCTGCCTCTTCGTCTGCTCACACCGTGCTGTCCCTGCTGCCCCTGCCCTCCCATGGGCCCATCGGCTTCCCACCGCCGCCTCCCTGGAAACACTGCCAGTTAAATCTCCCTCAGGAGTTTTGTATCAAAATAGCTCCCTGCCTTCAGCTTTCCTGGTTGGCCATTGCCTCCGTGGAGGGGAGAGCAGCCTCGGGAGGAGGCTGGTGTGCCTCCTCGGTAGGTGTGATTTTGTTTTACGGGGCACTAAAAGTATTAATGACAGCAGTCTATATGTAATGTACATTGAAATGTATCTGGTGATTTTAATCTACTGTGGCAGGGGCCCAGTGCTCGCCTGCAAGGGAACAGGCTTTGTTCTTGGGCCAGGAATGCAATCCCAGGAGGTTAGGATGGAACACAGATGCCCTTTCGCCAGAACATCCCCTTCTGCCCATTCGCTGCTCGACAGGGAGCAGGGTTCAGCTGTGGGCGGCAGACATTACCTACAGGGCATTTTGCAGTTGATGCTGTAAAATGGACCAGCCCTGCACTGTCAGCCTGTGCAGTGGGTCTGAGGAATTTGGGGCCGAAAAATCTGGAGCCAGGGAGAGTTGCTGAGTTCCTGGGAACAAGGTTGACCGTTTGTCAAGTCAATTAGAGAAGCTTAGTACTAGTGTATTTGTGTCTTTGTCATGGGCCAGGTTTGTCTTCAGGCTTACAACCAAAAACTCTACCACCATTTCCAAGGAGACTAAAACACTCATTACAATCTGATGCCGGAGGCACCAAGGTCAATGAAGGTGGTGCTACTAAGCATCATCCTGAACCACCCACACCCTTCACACACTTGTATTCCCAGCACACACACAAGAAAGCAGAAATGTGGTCTGGGTGGCACAAAAGAGCAGACCACAATCTTGCTTCCACCACCCTGGAGGAGAGACCAGACAGAAACACTGTCCTCAGGCACCCCAAGACTTGAGTGTCCGTTATAATTTCTGAGCTCCTGCAATGACACAGGTAACTGATGCTGGCAGATACAGGTATGTGACTTATATCAGACGTTACACTGAGAATGTGACTATGGAAAGGGTTTTCTCACAGGACCACTCACATCCAAATTAAGGGCCTGTGAGATCTTTATTTGTGCTGCAAAAGCTGGCTGGCAAACATGAGCAAATGTGAGCCTTAAGCATTGACGTGTTAATAAGAGGAGGAGGACCAAAGCCTCCCAGATAGCACCGTGCAAGTAGAGGGAGAGGGGAAGGAGCTGGACTGGAGATAGGGCAAAACCATCTCCCAGAGAGGACAGCCCTATTCTCACTGGGCAAATCCTGACTGTCCTGTGGTGCAGGCAAGTGACTCCAGGACTAACCCCCCTGTTCCAGGTGGGGAGAGGGGATCATAGTGAGTAACAACACAATTTTCAGCATTGCCCGAGTCTCACCAGCTTTGCCAGTGCAGAAGCAACCCTGTGGCACTCAAATGGGGTTGCTTAAAGACCGACCATTGCCACATTAAATAGTCCAGTCCCTAAATCAACATCCTCAGCCCTACTTCCCCACCTCCCTTTTCCCCCCTTTCAGCTCGACAAGTGACTATCACCCTGCCTCTGGGCTCCCTGCTCCCCACCACATTTCTTCCCAAAGGATCGCCGGAGGCTGCCACCATTTTCCTTTTGCTGGTTTCCCGCTGAACCGTTTCTCCTGCATGTTTGATGGCCCAAACTATTAATGTAATTTTGTATGAAGAGTGACTGTCCATGGGTTTAATAGAGCATTAGTTACTGTAATAATTTATTGGCTGTCCGTAATGTATTTATTAGTTACAAAACCTTAATAAAGTGCCAGCTCTTTTCTAGTGTGAGAGTGGCTTTATTGTGTGTCCCTTGAGTGTGTCCAGCTTCTCGAGCCAGTTATTTACCCTTCGTCTGCTCCATGCGCATACACACACATCAGTTGTCTGCCACAGCCTCATACACCTGGAAATCAAGAATTTGAAAATCGTATGACCAAGAGCTATTAAATTTTATTTAAGTATTTGGTGGAATTTTCTTTCCCCTGTGTTTGAAGTAGAACAACTTCACCGTTGTACATCTTTGTTCCTTGGCTTCTTGAAGTTACCCTTCCCCTCCTGCAGTCCCTTGCCCCACCCACGATTTCCCATTATTTGGGTCATGAAATAGAAGCAAAGAACTGGAAGAAACTGAGAGAAAAATTCCCATAAACCTCAGCAAAGAAAAATTAACCATGATTCCCGTTGGCTTCGCTGATTTCCTGTGATGTAACTTCAGCTGGACACATCCTCTAACACATATTCCCACACATCCCATCCTGCAGATCTGAATTAAAAGGCCAGCCCTGAGAAAAACTGATGGCCAAGAGGAAAAGGATTGCTCTTTGCTTATTCATATAGGGTTATGTTATAGATTGCCTCCAGGATGCTAGCCTGCCTCAACCTTCTACACTGGAAACTTCTGTTAGGTCATCAGGGTTTTTTTTTCCCCTGCACTGGGTACATGCTTTATTTCAGCGGCTCCTCCAACACCATCAGTTCCTTATTTAAATATAATACATATATGGGACAACTTGGGATGAACAAGGTAAAAAAACCAAACCCCAGGATCCTTCCCATGAAAGTCTCAAACCCAGCATTTTTGGAATAGCCACAGGTCAAGACGACCCATGTTGTTCTGTGGCAGTTTGTTTTCTCCATGAACAAGGATTTTTGTTTCTTTGTTTTTAAAAGATAAGAATAAAACAAAGTCCTGAAGCTTTTGAAAGTGCAGTGAGGGATGCCATCCCTTGCTGCTCTTTGTCAAGGAACCACGGGTGTAATCTCAAAGCCTTTCAAGATGAAATCAGACATCTGCTAAATTTTGCATGTGAAAGCTACAGTTGAAGTGTAGCTAATAGAATGACTCACAAATAAAACATTTATGGAAAACTCCTAGATGTGTAATTGGGTCATCATTTCATTAGGATACGCGTGTGTTCTCCCGAATCTTCAGCAAATCCAAAGCCTCACCACCACCATCCTTGGTGCACCTCTAAAAAGTGGCTCTCTCTGGGGGGCATTTGCTGCAGGTGGGTTTCCCACTGGCTGCTGAGCACCCTCCTTACCCTCTGCTCCATGCAAGAGTTTTCCTGATAAACCCCCATGTGAGCAGCTGGCCACTGAGCCAGGACCCCAGGAGGGGGCTGGGGAGAGGGGCACAGTGGGTCCAGTGTCTTCAGACTGCACTAAGCCCTGGTTCTGCACCAGAAGCTTTGCTCATTCAAATAGTGAGCCAGGTGGGTACATGCAACAGGAGCAGCACACAGACTGCCTGAAATGGCTCCTGACGTTCTCCCTGGAGCACAAGGGAATGGCTTTCCTGTTTGTTCTAAGTTAATGATGGAGAAAATTTGAGACCCTGGAGAGCTGTACCTGTCATGTCCAGCAGCGCCTCCACACAGCAGTGGGTGCATGTGCCTGCAGAGAACCCCTGCAGCAGCTTGAGTGAAGCATAAAAGTAGTTGATGGGGCTCTGCAACAGCTGATTCAACACAGAACAACCTCTCCTTCCACTCTCCACCCCTCTCTGGTAACAAGTTCTGTAGCAAGAGTGGAAATGGCTTTAAATGGCTTTTGTCCACATGTGAAAGGACAATTCTAAAATGACAGGTTTAGATATTTCCCTCTATTTCTGCTCCTACTAAAACCCTTCCGTGCCAAGGGCAATGCCTCGGCACCAGTCTGACCACATGGCACCGCCTGGCACAAGCTCTCTTCCAGGCAGGTCCATAGGATCACCCCAGGTAGCCAGAACTCCCACCATCTGGCTGCCCCATTTACTGGCTGTCCATCCTTGCTTTAGGCTCTGAAAGCAATGCTTCAGGGGTGCCCAGCCCATGCAGAGACACAGGCCTCTTCCACGCTTCTCAGGTAAGGCCTGTGATGAGCTAATGACTTTGTCTGCTCTTCCTTGAAGCTTCAGGTGTCAGTGCTGCTGGAGCAGCCACACAGGGATCTGCCCCAGCCTCCACAGTGCCTTGTCCTTCAGCCCAGAAGGGCAGTGCTTCATTTCCACCACCTTTGTAACTATCTCACAATTACCACTTATTTCAGAGATTCTTTTTTGCTTTCTAACCCTTTCAGTTCAGAAAGATGTTCTCCTCTCCTCTAACTCACTCTTTATCTTTGCCTTTCTGTCTCCCCTCTCCTCCCTCCATGCTCCCCATTGCAGAACCGCATGCACGAATCTCTCATGCTCTTCGACTCCATCTGTAACAACAAATTCTTCATTGACACCTCCATCATTCTCTTCCTCAACAAGAAAGACCTATTTGCTGAGAAGATCAAGAAATCACCTCTGACCATCTGCTTCCCTGAATACACAGGTACGTACTGGGGCTGGCGCAGCCCAGCACGACCCCACCACCACACCACTGGGGATGAGGGCTGCAACTCAACCCACAGGGGGCAGAGGGGACAGGGCACCATTAGGGGTGGCAAAAGCACTGTCCTCCCTCAAGAGCTGCAGTGGGGCTCAGAGACACCACAGATGAGGTGGGGTTGTGTTCTGCATGAAGTCAGTTCTTGTGGCATAGGTGCACAGTCAAGAGGTGATGGTCAAGGTGAGCTTTAAGGAGCCTGGCCACAGGGAGCTATGGAAAGATGAAGCCTTGCCAGGAGCTGACTGCCTGCCACTCGAGCCATGGTATTTGATGGTTCCTGAGAAGTTCCTGCTAGAGGAGCCAAGGCAAATGGTCCCCCAAGCCACGTCCTCCTAGGAGTGCCTTTGTGCAGGGCACAGCTGGGGGAGGAAAGGGCCTCTTTACAGCAGAAGTCTGAAACTACAACAGAATCACATGGTTTTCAGCGAAACTGTCTTGTCTTGGGGAAAAGAAGAAAACCCAAGAAAATGGGGTAAGAACAGATCTCGCTTCTGAATTCTGCAAGAAGGAACAATCAGCTCGGATTCAGAGGCTCCAGCACCCCCTGCAGATACCAGGATGTCTCTGAACTACTTTCACTCAGAGCACACCCTCTGCCTGGACGCAATACCTTGGGGACACGGGGTCCACAGCAGGGCAGGCCCCATTGCCCTACAGCAGAAGTGCACTAGTGTTTCCACTGGAGGTTCTGCACTTTCTCCATCATGGAAGCTGCAGCGCTTTTTACCCAGCCACCCAGCAGAACATCCCGAACTATCCCACATGAAGCTGTACGGCACAGCCTGGCTACCCCAGTGGCACCAAGCCACCTCCCCCTGTCCTTTGGGAAGGAGGGGAAGTGGTGAACTGGAAAAGTAAAACAAATCCTCATATAAGAGCAGCTCTTCCAAAGGCTATTCCAGCGATGTCATTCAGGCTTTGCAGCTTCCTGTGAGGAGCTGGGCACTGCCTTAAGCAGCTTAATACAGTAATGCCCATTTTCCAGCTCCAGCATCTGCCCTGTTTCAGCCCTACAGAAACAGGCAACAGCACATCTCCCAGCAGCTCCTGCCACACCAACCCCCATCACCCATTCCAATATGGGGGTGAGGCCCATAGCCCCCAGAGGGGCTCAGCCCCACTGTGGGTGCCCAGCCACCACCCATGGTTGGTACTGGAGTGGTCACCAACCTGACACACTCCCCACACTCCACTGGGATGCGTGGTGGGGACTCACCAGTGATGTCAGGGCAGCAGCAATGCCAGAGGAGCATCCTTGTGGAATAGCCCAGCCAGGCACTGCTGGGAGCTGCTGCCTTTCCCCAGGGCCTTAAAAGGGAGCAGGCAGAGAGGGCAAAGTAGCCACAGCTGGGGAGGCGGGAGTCCCAGTGGAGCCCAGTTGCTCTGTGATTTGGGGGAAAATGGGGCCGGATGGGGTGGAAAAAGGTAGCTGGGGAGGGGTGAAGAGAGAGATGGGGCAGGAAAAGGGGTAAATGGGCCATGGGGGGGGGGGGGGGGGGGGGGGGGGAGGAAATGACCATAAAGAGGGGTTGCCTGGTTTTGTTGGAAATAAAGCACTTTGCAAGCAGCAAGGGGCAGGGTGCATGGCCAGAGGGTGGCAATCCCGGCCCTGACCCCCCTGCTCTGTCCCCCCCTCTGCCCACAGGTCCCAACACCTATGAGGACGCGGCCGCCTACATCCAAGCACAGTTCGAAAGCAAAAACCGCTCCCCCAACAAGGAGATTTACTGCCACATGACGTGCGCCACAGACACGAACAACATCCAGGTGGTATTTGACGCCGTCACCGACATCATCATTGCCAACAACCTGCGGGGCTGCGGCTTGTACTGACCCCCCCCAGCGCAAAGCGACTTGTGGGGTGGCGGCAGCCCCAGTGCCAGGAGAGGAAAGAAACATGAAAATAAAGATTAATAATAATAACGATAATAACAAAAAACCCAATGCAACCACACACAGACACACACAGACACACGCACATGCAGGAAAAACAAGTGAAACAAAGCGAAAAAAAAATTGAATGAGAGAAAAACAAACCATGATCATGCAAGTTGGTAAATAAAAAGGCATAAGGAAAAATTATATATATACGTATATAGAGATATCAAACCCACACCCACCTCCTTCATTTGTCTGAGAGCCCTGTGCCCCTGGCTGCGTCCTGGGGGCAGCCCTGGGGCTGGGGCAGTCTGCCTGGCCCCATTCCCAGAGCTGTGGGACAGAGAGGGTTGCGCCAGGCTTGTGTGCAAGGGGGGCTTCTCCTCCCAGCCCCCATTTGACCATGCAGGTTTATTTTTTTATTGCTATTATTACTATTGTAATTACTTCTTGTGGGTTGGCTTTTTTATTTCATTATTATGATTAATTACGCCTCTTCCCAGTGCAGGGCTGCTCCCGCCTGCCCCAAGCCCCACCGGCACCGCCAGCCTCCAGAACCCAAACCATTCATTTTTGTCTTTGAAACAGAGGGGGGAATCCTAAAACCTGCCCCTGGCCAAGTGTTGAAGGGAAACACCAACAGCAACGAGGCCTGTTCCTGCTCCTCCCATCCTGGCTGCTTCAGGAGGGAGGCTGCAGGGAGAGCATCCTCCAGGTGCTCCCTCCCTGGGGTTCGGGGTTTTAGGGCAGATGTTTCCAACTCCCCACCCCACTGCAGGGCAAAGCCAGTGCCAGCCAGGGGCCTGCGGGGGCTTCCTCCCATTTTCCCTCCCTCCTGGTTTAACACCTCCCCCCTGGCTCTGCCGGTTGGTAC